ATGAGGATTCGAGTTCCTTCCTGGGGGAATGAGAGGGCTGCCCATGAGCACTGAAATCCTCTGCATGGAGGCATGTCCCTAGGGAGGGGGCCAGATGTGTGTGCACACCTGCCCGAAGGCTCCTCTTGCACACACACTTTGTGCAGCCACTTCATAGAATTCAAAGCAAACATTTACATTCTGAGGCTCCTCTATATTTATGCTGGGCTTCCGCTCCACTGTCAACATTTGGGAAGCTACTCCTGGTCAGTTCCTGTTGACTTTTACTGAAAAGTGGCTAGTGAAACAGTAAATATTTTTGTGCATATGATAATACAGCTGGTCAGGGCAGAGAGATCTCTGAGGAGCAGATCTTGTGATCTGGAACAGAGTCTCGTCTTTCAGTGCTTGTGCAGGCAGTAGCCATAGCTGCTGGTTGCAACAGCAGGTCCTAAAAGACTTTCCTAAACTGTCTTTCCATGGCAGTTGGGAGAACAATGCTCATTCCACTGTCAGGCTCCCAGAAAATCAGACTTTTGCCAGAGAAGAGCTGTCAGAGGTGTGCTAGGCAAACTGCAGCTAGGAAGTCAGTTGCAGAACTAGACTGCAAAGCTAGACAAAGAGCCCTGTTAACAGTCCCTGCTCAGCTGCTGTGCCAGGAGAAGTGCTCCCAGCACTAATAAACTGGTATGAACTTTCCCTGGGCTTACTGTCAGCCAGGTACATAATGGCCCTTGTGGGAGAGAACCATGTCATCCACAGTTGATTTGACAAACCCCTCTCTGGTGGTGAAAGGAGACGGTAATAGTCAGCTCCTCGCGTGCTTTGGGAACCAGGCTGTGTGAAGCAAGGCTAAGACTGAATGCTTAAGACTGAGACACTGTAAATGATGCTCTGTTGTCCTTGTGTCTTGCATCTGGGCTGGTAACCCAGAGGAGTGCTCTGGGACCGCTGATGGATGTTGCTTTGTTGCCTTCTTCCCTGCTGTGCAGCGAGAACCCTTTGCCGACGGTGGAAATTGCCATTCGCAACACGGGCGATGCTGACCAGTGGTGCCCTCTCCTGGAAACCCTCACAGATGCCGAGATGGAGAAGAAGATCAGAGATCAGGACAGAAATACAAGGTGCTGCCACTGGTTCAGACACTTCTCCTCCTGGCCTGTCTCTAAGACAGAACTTAAAAGCTTTGATGTTTGTCTTTCTCTGCTGAGAGCCAACTGGCAGGATTTCACGCTTGCACACCACAACAGAAACTCATATCCCTTTAGCTTCAGGATATTAAACTGTTAGCACCTTGCTGCAAAAACATTTAAATCTCTCACCATCTCCTGCTTGAAGCAAAGTTTCCTTTTTGGTTTTTTTTTTTTTCTTGAGCTCTCAGTTTGTGCAGGGGGAATCTGTTTCTATAAGAAGGCATTCATCAAAAATATTGGTGTTTCACGCACTGTCATGCTACCTAGAATTCTGCCACAAGGTTTCTTTTTAGGAAGTGTAAAGTGCTGGTTGATGTAGGAGTGAGCAAGCTCCCAGCCCCAGCCTGACGATGCCAGCATGGGAGCACTGCTGTGATTCCAGGAGCTCTGCGTACCAGAGACCTGCTAAGTGATGTTTGACAAGCAGTTGAGAGCACTTGCTCCTACTTGGCGACATTGCTCCTGGCAGATAAAAATGAACTTCTAGAATGTCTCCAAAAGATACATTGTGGGAACAGTAGATAATGCTGGCTCAGCTCTTTACCAGGATTTTTTTTTTACTGGTGATCAACAGATTCATAATTATTTTCCTTCTCTGCTATGGCTGAATAGTTTTCAGCAGGGATCAGTTCAATCCAAGTTTGTGAGCAAAAGTGCCCTAAAAGCTGTTACTGAGACTAGTGTCTTAGCCTTATCAACAGGTGACCAAAGAAGTCTGTGTAGGGAATAAACCTGTCTGCAGCATTCACAAGGCTGCAGCAGCTTCCCCAAAAGTGTTGGCTTTAGTAAGATTTCACATGACTGAACCACAGCACTCACTGTACCTCTTTCTCTCTCTCCTAGGCGCATGAGACGTTTGGCCAACACTGCTCCAGCCTGGTAATCTTCCTGTTGTGACACTGGTGCTCTTCCTACAGACTTTATCCCTACTCCTCTCCCCACATGGATCTAGGATTGGCAGGGGTCTTTCTGTCCCTGAAGGGGACACACATTCCACTTGCCAAGAGTTCCCAGTACTGCTGACTTCTGCCCCCATCCCTTCCACCTAAATGCCACGTAGCAAGAATGCTGCGCTAGCACGTGATCTAGCTGAGACCTGTGGCAGCTGTTGAAGCCCTTATATACCTGTGTGTGGACAGTGTAAAGATTTTTTTTTTTTGTATAGGTGCAACATGCACTATTAGGACAACTTTTTAAATAAAAGGAATGCATACTACTTGAGTTCAGTAAGTTTGAATGAATAGTGTATCACCTCACCATGTGGTATTCTGGTGACTGAATAGTCCTGGGGCCTGATACTAATGGTTTTGGGTAGAATGCTGAACAGTCACATGCAGTCAGTTTCCCTAAAGCATGGTGGAAACTGCTTTCCTTCAACAGATAAAACAGCCCAAAACCTTTTGCTGCAAGAGAAAGTGAGAATGAAAAAAAATTAGAAGAAAATGACTCTAAAGGGACTGGTCTGCTTGCACACTTGGTGTAGTCTGTAATGAACTCAGGGAGGTGTTTGGCTGATGCCTCAACAAGGGTAGAACAGTTTAAATGAAGTCATAAACTTAACATTCCTGTCTGTCAGCTGTCAACCTGCTGCATGCTGAACCCTTTTTTCTGGGAAGATTGCATCTGGAAAAACAGCAGCATCTCTGAACTGGTACAAAAGTTGAAGCCTGCAGCTTTACTTCAGCAGGGGCCTTTACTGTGGTCACTGTCAGCACCCACAGCTGCCAGGTCCAGTGCACAGAGCACCCAAAGTAAGGTGGGTGTCTTAAATACCCTTAGCACTGCACTGTCAGAATTTACAACCTTAGAAACAACCTGTCTTTCCCTGGGGAGTTTAAAAACAGAAAATCCATTGAAGTGAGATTTAAAAAAAAAATTAAAAAATCAAGCTTGCTTAAAAACCTAATTACAATCTACCTTGCTGTTGAGGTACACCAGCTCTTTGATAGAGTTCCGACCATTCCCTGCCAGAACTGACGAGTGTTGCAAGCAGGGCAGATTTTGCTGGCAGCCTGACAGTATGTTCAGGCCTTTATCATAAAGCCAATAGGTTTTACAGTCCTTGCTGATCCACCCACACTGCTAGCACAGTCAAAAAAACACTTTCCAGCCTTAATTTATCATGTTTAGACTTGAGTAATAACAGAGCCAGTTCTGATTCCTGGGTGGGAAGGAACTTTTTCCAGATGTTTGTCTGTATAAACCAAAAACTTGCAATTTAGCAGTATTATTATTAGAGTCTTAATCTGAGGCTCCTGTGCCAGAGTGGTACTCTATCCATTATTCCTTATTAGAGAGGTTGAAGGGTTATTTTGGCAAGCCAGACAAAACCTGGGATTCCTGCTGCATCTTAGCCTCCCATGTAGAACATAGATTTTTGCCTCATGAACATAGGAACTCCCAACTCTTCCTGAGAACACTTCAGCCTCTCTTTGTTATGATCAGGTACTTCTGCAAGCAGCTTCTCCAGGGAATTCAACCAAAACAAGCACAAAACTGTTGTAGCCTTAAACTGGCATCTGTGGTGCAATCTTTGAATTGCTGTGAAGCTTGTGTTTACCTAATCCCAAAGTTCACAACAAGGTATGGGCACGCAAGGACCGCAGGCTCTGTAGCTGGTTTACAAGCACCTCCTCTGCTTCTCAAGCCCTAGAGAGCTACAGCCTCTGGAATTGTCCCTCCAGGCAGCCAGGAGCAAGGTAGGACAGTCTAGGGGGGCAAGTCCCAGAAAGACTGCAGCCAGCTTTCTCTATGTATTAGGACTACTAGGGAACAGCTGGGAGCAGCTTCCTTGCTCTATAATCACAACTCCTTAGCTTAATCTAGTATTCCAGCTAAAGTGTAGCTCAGCTTTTGCATTTCAAAGTCACATTTCAGAAGCAATTTGAAACAGAATGTCTGCAGCCTTTAAAGGGAACTCCCAGGGACACCAGCTCCATGTTACTGGGTCATGAGCAAAGCACACAGCAAGTACCTTTTGGGTCTGAGGCTGCTTAGCCCTTGGTACCACTGTGTCTTCTAGAACAAGATTACCATCTGTACAGGTCTTTCATCCTTCCTAGAAGGAAACAAGTGCAACAAAATAGCTTGTTCAAACTAAGTCTGTTTTTTTTCATAGCAAAAAAAAAAAAAAAAGGGGTTTTCATGGGAACCCCTCAAGGAAGCCTACATGGGAGGCAGGAGTGGGGGGCTGTGGTTCAATCTTCCGTTGCCACAAGGCTTCTGTATCATTTTTAATTGGATGCTGGTTACTCACATTTCTCTTAGTTTTAGTGGTGGTTTGCAAGCTTGTCTAGCTGAGCAGACAGCAACATTACCAAACAAGCTATTCTAAGACACACTGTTTGCAAATTTACTCCCAAGGCTTTGGGGTCTGGTATAAGCACAGGTGTGTACTGCATTTAGCAAGAATGACTAAATCCATTTAGTACAGCTGCTCAAGGCAGGGACTAGCTTGTTTAGTTTTCCCCTAAAATTCAGATGTTTCAGTTTTGGAACTAAAAAATTCAGCAAGAGTGGATTTACACTGTGTAGACAGCCTTTATTACTAGGGTCAAGTGCTACTTCCAGTCACTGCCTGGATCAAGCATCCAGCTCTGTCTCCTGTCCTTTCCCAGGCACCCCTTTCTCCAACTAGACATCCCCACACCCTTCCTCATGCTTTGCAGTCCTGCTGACAGAGGAGGGGAAGACATCTTCCAGATAGCTTGAAGTTTGGTTTGACCACCAAAAAAAGAGCCCAAGCATACAGCCTGGCAGTTCTGAGCAAAGTCCTGATGAGTACTGGTGAACTGCTGCATCTGCCCCCAGCAGAAACAGACACACAACTGAAAAATAAAGACTTTAATGTAAAGACTCTTTGGAAACAACAACCAAAAAAAGAGGGGGAGACTCAGAGGGAAGGGAGAGGCTGAGCTGAATTCTACTACGGTAGAGTAGGGAGTACTACTTCACTGAAAGCCCACAAAGAGGTCTCACAACAGTGAGAGCCAGGAGCACTAGTCTTTGTACAGAGGGCAAGCGTGACCTGGCACACAGCAAGCCATTAACATGAAGAGAAAGAGTAACTGGTTTAACACCCCGTTTGATACTTATTCCCCACTGGGTAACTAAGGAGACATCACAACTTCCAGTCCCTGTCCCTAGAACACCTCTGGGAGCATTCAGCAGTTCTTAAGTGCAAAGCTCTGTGGAACCACCTGGTACAAGGGGAAGATGGGTTACCCATACAAACAGTGAAACATTACACATCAGAATGGCAACTGGTGTTATTCCAGTCGGATCTCGGCCACAGCGTTAAGTCCAGCCGGAAGAGAGGAATCTGGCCACATGGAGAAGTCCCCTGTGTTATTGTGGATGCTGCTGCTGGTTCTGGTCTTGGTCTCTAGGTTGGTTTTCTGGATGATCTTCAGGGAGAGGGTTATAGTTGGGATCCTCTTCAGGTGTGTCAAATACCATCTTCCTGGCAAAGAACATGCCCATCCCACCAGGCAGGCAGGTTAGGGAAGTGAGCCGAGGACCAAACCCCCGGCCCTCCTAGGCACATCCTAGCCCTCCGCAGGGCCTAGCCGCCCGCCACAGCCACCTGCCAACTGCACCAGCATCAACTGCTCTTTTGCTCAGGTCAATAGGTAACAATGACCATACCTGCTTCCTTGATCTCTAGGTCAACTTTGAACCTCAGCATGAAGCAGAACATATCCTGCTTTCTTAAACTACAGAAACATGTCAGAAAAAAAAAATAAAATCTTACCTGCATCTAGCACTTCCACAAGCAGCAAGAACACTTCAGTTCAACTAGCAAAGCTTAAGGTACCAGCAACTGCTTTATGGACCCTGTGTACATACATATATAATGTGCAAAGCACCAGTGCTTTCTGTAGCAGAGGCATAAACTGTCAAACTGAGGTGCTATCAGCATGCAACGACGTCCTGTGGTCACCCCACGCTGTCACAGACTACAGTTTGCTATAAAAGTGACCCAGGTTGGGAAGTAACACAGCAAAGCCCAGAAAGAATCATCTTTACTTACAGGAAGCCAGGGGTTAACAGCAACTTCTTTCCTCCAGGCTGGTTGGGAAAAACATCTTCTAAGAAATAATAGATGTGTCCCACTGCAATCCCTGGGGAGAGATGTCACCAAGGTCAGGCCCAGCTGTAACTCCTTTGCCAGCTGAACCAGAGCTGCTGGGAGCTTAAGAAGGATGAAGCTCCAAGAATCCCTCAGCTGGGTACCCACAGGACAGCTCCCACCAAAGCCACCTGTGCTGCAGTGCCAGAGGGCCAGCCTGTCTGCTGTGGTCCGTGCACAAGCAGGCAGGGAGCCCGTCAGTCTGAAGGCAGCACTGGGCACCCAGCAGACCAGATGCAGCACAAGTGTCAGGCAGAGCTCACCATATCCAACCTCTGCCCCTGGGGAAGACACAGCCAGATGCAGGTCACAAGCAAGAGCTCAGGCACGAGGCTGTCCACCCAGCAGCCTCAGCCAGCTCACTTTAGGAAACCCATCATCTTAAATAAGATGAAACCAAGAGACAGTGCTAGTGCCCCAGTAGCATCTATGAGAACTGAGAGCACTGTGGCTGCAAAGAGCCCTCGTTCCCAGCACCTGCCAGCTTTGACTTACCCAGTAAGTCGATGATGATGGAGTTGCCAAGGAGCAGAGAGAATCCCATCAGGACCCAAGGCAAGAAGGGGGCTTGGAAGTTAAGAAGCCCAAAGAAGTTCATGCGGATATAAGGGTTCCTGCGACTCCACACGTACACCAGCATGATGGTGAAAGCCTGGCCCAGGAAAAACAGGCTGGCAAAGAGTCCAAATAGCTAAGAACTACTGAGTCAAGGAAAAACCTACCCACCCTGTGCACCACATCCAGGCAGCACAGGGTGACTTGTGACTAGGAAACCCAGAGCTACAGACAGCTGATCATAGTGTGCAAGACATTGCCCGTGCCACAAAATCTTTCTCGGGCTGGCTGAGATGTACAGATCCCCTTCCAACACACTGCATTTCCTTCCCTGCCACCCCAGAACAAGTGGAGTGGCACATACAGATCACTCCTTAAGCTACTTTCTACAGCCATCAAAGACTGGGGAGCTCATATAATCACCTCTACAAAGTGTCAATCAAAAATTACCTTCAGAGAAGGGCCTTCACATTGTTACAGCACTTATGAGCTAGTTTTTAATACATGCCACACATCCCATGGAGACTGACTAACCAAACACCCAAGGATGTCTAACAACCACAAGAGCTCACATAGCTTCATGCAGAGCACCATGGGGAGAGCGATGCTCTCAACCAGCTGCATAAAACAGCAGCAAGACATTCAGAACAGGTATTATGCTTGGGAGGGAGATATTTCTCCCCACCCAGACCATTTTGTCCTACAGTAAAAGAACTTCTAAGATGTGTGACAGTATCTCCAGCCCCTGACAGGTCACAAGGACAGAATGCTGGGCTCACACTACCTGATGTGCTGACAGGCACCCCACTCTTTGTCTTTATGGCTCTGCATTCTTCCCTTCAGCTGCAGCTTGGTTTTCTGAGCCACCCTCATGCCAATCGTAGCAGTGCTCCACCCACCATCGCCCTGCGGCAGCTGGACGGCTTCTCACAGAGCGTAACAAGGGGCTTCCTCTGAGGCTGGCCTTCCTCAGCACACTGCCACACATCCTCTTCTGGGATCAGGCAGCCCATCCCCTTGCCAGGTGCGTCATCACTTCTGCAGACACCAACACAAGTACTGGCAGCTCTTCCTGTATTTTGCTTCTGTTCTAAGCATACTGGGTGAAGCACAGGCCAGGCAACAAGGGTGGTCAAGGCGAGAAGCACAAGCTGTCCCAAACCGCCAGAAGTTACTCCACATGCTCAGCAGAGCTCTCCCAAGCCTCAGGGCTCTCTGCCCCATGGCACTGGGAAGGTTCACAACCCATCTGTCTTGGTCACCAGACAGGTACCTGCTACAGGCCACAAAACACAGGATACAGAGAGCTAGCAGAGAAGCCCCACACTACCCACAGCATCTCAGAAGACACTGAAGAGCCTTAACCAACTTAAAAGGATACCGTCATGAGAAACCCTCCGAAGAGGAACATGAAGACAAAGTCAGCTGTCCTTCCACGGAAGGAACCTTCTTCTAGCATGCGGCAGTACCTGTACCTGAGAGCAGGTGAGAAGGGAGGAGTTGCAGTATAGGAAATTAACAGCTGGCCACCCTGCGTCCCCACAGCATGACTTTATGGTGAATAAGCCAGCTGCAAGCTGTTTCAGCACTGGAAGCTGGCAGCCAGGTGTCCAAACCCCAGAGCAGAACAGTGTAAACTTCACCTTACACCACTGACCCCAGGGAAAGACAGAGGCATCTGCTGTGCTCCAGCCAGAGCTCACCCCAGGAATGGGCACTGCTCTCCAGCATGAGATACAGTAGCATTGCCAGCTTCTTTGGCCTTTTGGTAGGGGCTGCCCTGCAGCAATCAGAGATTGAGGTGCAGAAGGTGGCCACATTTGTCAGGGGAATGGCTTCAATTCAGACCCGAAGAGCCAAGGGAAGAATCCATAGCCCTAGACTGCCTGGGGAGGAAAATGGATGGGGGGAATCGTGACTAAGCCATAACAGGAGCAGAGAGCTTCACTGAGACCAAAGGATACAGAAATATCATGTTGAAAAAGAAACTGAATCCCAGGGGCCCAAAAAAGAGGAAGTTGGTGATCAGCCTCCATATCTGAAAGAGAAGAAGAGAGAGAAAAGGAAGTGGACAGACAGGTCTCTCCCCATCACCTGTACAGCAGCCCATCACCCTATCCACTGAAGACACCCAGTCATGCACCTGTCTACTCAGAACTAACCCAGGACACCAGACAGCCACACCACCTTCACATGGGACCTCCCTTCATTGCCCCCACCAGAGTCCTCTGCCCTTCCGGGTGTGGGAAAGACGATGTCTGTATTTTTCTGGAAGGGATGAACAGCCACAATTCAGCACCCAGAGCCAAAGTAAATCACTGGTTGTGCTCTACCATAAAGCCTTCCCCACCCAGCCTGACATCCGATGGCCAAACATCTCTGTGTCAGAGAAAAGGAAGAGGCAGGTTTTGAGTAAAGGAAAAAAGGAAATGCGAAGATGGTGTATGGCAGGGAAAGGCTGGAAGAAGTTATCTCCATCCAGGCATCTGTGACAAGAGGGGACACTGTGCTGGCAACCAGCTCCCGCCAGTCAGCGAACACTGGAGTAGTGGGAACCCCCTGGGATCATACACGGCTCCCTGACCGCCCTGCGGAGCTGGACTCCCAGGGCCCAGCCTGCCACACCCACCCCTTACTGGGAAGGGGCAAGAGGGACCCCGAAGTCCGGGCAAGGCCTCACCTGGAACTTCCTGAAGATGAGGTCGGGGTTGAAGTACAGCTGGAAGGGGGTGATGAACTCCAGCTGCTGTGAGAGACAGGCAGAGCAGCTGCCACGCGCTGCCGGGCACCCCCTGCCCTCAGCCAGCCCCTGGCTCCCCCACCACGGCACCCCCTCAGGGACCCTGACCTGGGGAGAGAGGAGAGAA